AAATATAATACAAAGTAATAAATATATTGGTTTCATAATTGCCCTAGGAAAGGTGATTTTTATGTCTGGGTTCTAGTCTATTCTGCTAATGAGTGAAAATAAATTTGAGCATTTTTCCCCTACAGTTTTCATTCGATGTTTGTGTTATGGATAGCATATTAATTATGTAGCCTGAAGTGCTCACATATATGTTAAAGTCTTCATGAGTCTATAGTGATGGTGTCTGTAGGATAACTCCCAAATGTTAAATTACCCAATCAAACGATATTGTTAGATTTCTTGCTATGTCCCAGTTCCCTCGTATGTAGACCTCAGTCATTATAACAGTGTACCATTATTATTTTGTAGCTGGTGTCATTTTCTAGATATAAAAGTGTGTCAGTGAAACAATGCTTTCTTACTGCTTCCTGGGTTTACTTAAACACAAAACAGTTTGCGAAAATATATATCACACTGCATTTTTTTGAAATTTTACTTATTTTTTTATGTGTATGAGTGTTTGCCTGATGTATGCCTGTGTATCATGTTTGTGATAGAGTGCCTGCAGGGGCCAAAAAATGGTGTGAGATTCTCCTGGGACCAGAGTTCCAAACTACTGTGAACCACCACATAGATTCTGGGAATTGAACCTGAGTACTCTGAAGAGCAGCCAGTATTCTTAGCTCTGAGCCACTTCTCCAACTTCTCAAATCACAATCTTAAAAAAACAAAACAAAACAAAACAGCAATAGCCACAACAAAAAAACATATAGTGGAAGAGCTGAAGCGATGGCTCAGGGGTTGAGAGAACTGGCTGCTCTTGCAGAGGAACCAAGCTTGATTCCAGCACCCTAATCAGGTAACCGACAACTGCCTCTTGCTGGAGCTCAGGGGATCTTTCACCCTCTTTTGGCCCCCTGGACACCTGCACTCACTGCACCTGTGTAGCAACACATGTAGAGGTCAGTCCTCTCCTTTACATGGGCAAAACAGTCCTTTTCTATTGTATCTTTGTGCATTTATCTGTAAAGGAGAAGTTAAAGCCTTGCTTTCCACGCCTCAGCTTCCCCATTCTTCTAAGTGAGTTTATAGTTCTCCGTGTCCGTTGACTGACTGTAGCATCAGCTTTGTGACACAGCCTTAAGAACAACAAAAGTACTCATTCTTTGCTTCCAGCCCCCAACATCCATTCTTGAAATGCATGGACAGTGACCACAAAGCCACAGCCCTATTTGGATGACACCGATAAGGCAAGAGCATTAGTTAAACACATCCCTCAGAGAATGAATGCACCAGAACAATCAAACTAATCTTTACTCTCAAAGGCACCGCATAACATTAAACATTCCCCTTAAATCTTAGTAGTAGGAACTTCCATATTTGTTTCCTTTTTTGGAAATTTTTACAGTATTCACCATGGCTAGAAAAAGCCAGCCTAGCCATGAGCAGTGGCACATGCCTTTAAGCTCCAGCACCCGGAAGGCAGAGGTAGGCAGATCACTGTGAGTTCGAGGTCAGCCTGGTCTAAAAATTGAGTCTCTGTTATACAGAGAAACCCTGCCTCAAAAAACAGAGAGAGAGAGAGAGAGCGCCTAGATATTCATCAACAGATAAATGAATAAGGAAAACATGTTAGATGTGTACAACACAATGGAATTTTTTTATTCAGCTATAAAGGAAAACAAAAGCATGACAATTGCCTGAAACTGAAAGAAGCTGGAAATTATTATATTAAGCAAAGTCTGTCATACTTAGAAAGACAAATACCACACATTTTTTTCTCATGTGTGAATCCTAGATTTTAGTTCTTATGTATGTAGGGTGTGGAGGTATAGGTCACGAAACTGTTAATCTGACGTGAAAGCAGAATGGGAATGACTAGGAAAGAAAGGAGGCTAGTGGGAGGGGTTCCAGGAGACAGGGCAAGAGAAGTGGGAGAGGAGGGTCTATAGAAAGTATGAACACGCTATAATAGAGCCCATTAATTCATATGCTAATCAAAAGCAGTTTGCCAGTTTGGAAGCCAGTAAGCAATGTCTCATTCTAGTCTATACTTCTCTTAGTTAGACCTGTCGAAATATATTTTCATATATTTTTGGCCACTTTTCTTCCAATTGTTGGTTTACCTGGCTAATTTTGTGTTTTGATATCACATTTTTAACTATTAGTATGTCTTGGTGCTGGTGAGACGGCAGATGCCTGGTCTTCCAGAGGACCCAAGTTCAGTTCCCAGAACAGTCTCTCCAATGCCTGCTGTTCCAGCTCCAGGGGATCAGATGTCTTCTGGCTTCCAAGGGCACATGCGCTGGGCATGGTTGATGCCCAGGGGCTACAGTCTTAAAAAAAACTGACTCCCTCTCCCTCTCACCAGCTATCAATCCTGAGAGCCCCTCAGCCGCAGTGAGACTTCATGCCCACCTCCCCGAGGGTGAAGGGTACCATCTACAGCTCTCCCTTTACTCGGGTCCACCTTCTCACACAGCTGCCAGCTGCTGGAAGCAGCCTCTTTGCTAAGTAGTTCAGGGCAGCGAATGTCAACATAACCTCAGTTCAGAGCATTTCCAAAGCGACAGGCGTGTGAGTTCTTGCCCGTCTGAGTGCAGGTCCAAGAGTGGATGGAGGAACACAGGCCTCTTTCCATAAGCCAGGGAGGAAAGGCATCCTAGGATCCTATGTTGGCTCTCCCCACGGCAAATGGCCGCTATTCTTGTTCATTTGTTTATTAACTTATCTTTCAGCACTTACATCATAGCATGAAGATTCGTGGGGTGAAGCAGGGCACAGCTCCTTCAAGGCTGCAGTCCCAACCCACTTTTCCTCGAGGAAGCAACGCTGTAACTCTTTGCTTTCCCAGGAATATAAGAACACAAGAAAGCTGTTCAGTGTTTGTTTGAAAGGTTTTGAATGACTTTTCAGCCGGTAGCCATCATCTTGCTTGCCATTTGTAGTGTTGGTTTTAATCTGTCTTTGCTAAGTGGTACTGATTTTAATTTGGTTTTACTCATAAAAACATTTGTTAAAGAAGTGGCGCACCTTTCTTCAATATCAGTCTAGGAAGTTGCTGTTTCTCTGTCCGGTTCAGATGCAACGCACCCTAGTGATTTGCTGAATTTCCCAGATGACATCATAGTGGATCGTGCACACTGATCGCAGGTCCACGAGGCTCTCACTATTTAAGAGGTGAGAGCCAATGGGTGCCTAGAAGGTTGGAAGGGTCCCATCGAGTACACACAAATATACACTGAACACAGATTGAATGAATGGTCAAGTATGCCGGAACCCACACGTGAGGCATTTCCCAGTGTCTGAGGCTGAGTGGGAAGGACTTTTCATTTCCCAGTATCTTCTCTTGAGGCTACCAGGAAGGCCCACCTTCTAGCATGCTGTGACCTGGATTTTGTTTCCAGCAGGGAGAGAGCTAAGCCTTTAGACTGTTGCTTTCCTTTGCATGGTCTTTGCCAAAGGTGGATCCGTTTTCAAACAGCATATCCAGCACTTTTCACTGCGGGAGGCCAAAAGACTCCCACAAGAAGCTTAAATACGCTGTGTTTCCTGTTGTAACACAAAGGTGAGTGTTGTTGGACTCTGGGATTGCCTCAACTCTGGGGTAACTTTGGGGTTCAGGCTTTAGGGTATCAGCTCTGGTTCTGGCAGATAGCCTGCTTCCCACATATGATGTGAGATATGCTTTTCAGCAGCTACCTCTAACAGGTAATTTCTCTCACAGAGAGAGGGTCAGAGCCAAGCGGTTCAGTCTGGGTTTCCCTCTGAGGTATGGCTCTCTGTGTAGGGCCCTAGGTGCCCTTTAGGAAACCTTAGGTAGCCTCTAGGAGCTGGCCATTCCGGTGGGCACCAGGTCCCCAGCCAAGTTTCTGCAGATGCCTCCTTGGACAGCCTCCCTGGGCTCTCGGCGGCGCTGATCCGAGCCTGGCCGGCGGGGGGCGCGCTCCCGTGGGAACTTGCAGACGCACGGGCCGGGCGGGACCGGGCCGCCTCTCCACCCCCAACCCCTCGCCCTGGCAAAGTTGCCCGGGACTCCCGGCTCGTCGCCGCGGACGCTGGAGAGCAGGCGCTGGGCTCCGCCTGCCCCGCGTCCTCCGCTGCTGGCTGGTCGGAGCCCGGCAGCCCCGTCGCGCTCCCCCGCGAGGGCATGCGGCAGCGGCGGGACGCTCGGCTCCCGGGCTCTGCGGCGCGGGCGAGCGAGAGCGGTGAGTGCGGTGCGCGCCGCGGGATGGGGGTTCCCGGAGCCGCCACCGGCAGGGGCTTTTTCGGGATTTTCTGGTCTCCTATCCTCTCCAAACTCCCGGGACGGAATTATCCTCGCGATGGGTGGCGTACCCTGCTCTTCCCCACTTCGGGCTTCCCAAAACCAAAAAGCAAGGCAGATACAAAAGCTCCGGCCGCATCGGCCTTGGCTGTTGGCTGATGGGCAGGCGCAGGGACACCCAGCTCCATCGCTCTGGGCTTTGCAGGGGCGCTTCTCTCCGAACTCTGTGAAGTTTGTCTGGTGATGGGAAGTGGGTTCCCTGGGAGCCCTGGGAGCTGACATATTGCACCTTGCAGTTTCACCGGTGTGGTGATCTGTCTGTTGGTAAAAGCTAGAGCCCAGTGCAGGCGTCTCAAGATTTGGAGAATAGTTGCTACGACCAGCTCCAAAGCTATCAGAGTTGTGCGGGATGAGCCAAAGGTCTCGGGGATCCCCCTTCACCAGAGGAGACAAAAGTGCTTTGTTTTGTAGCAGTTTCTTCATTGCCTTCTCTGTGCAAGTTGCCGCTATCAGAAATTACTTAGAATTTTCTCAGGCTTGTGATTTGAGGACTGCCTGAATATTGGAAACAATTTAGGCTTATTAACGGGATCATGGGAACGGCCTTCCAAAGCACTTAGAGGTCAATTTGTAACGGGAATGATTTCCCTCAAATGCTTCATAATTTGCTCCTGTCATCCCAACAGTCTTCTCCTGCCTAACTTGGTCTTGGGACGTCACACTAGCCATAAAAGACTGAACTTTTCAGTTCCTTCTCGAAGTCTACAAGTCTGAGAACAAAGTGAATGTCAGACCTAGACAAACTCCTTGTGCAGGTGGGTGAACGTTGGGCACATGCCCAGTCTTCGATACATGCCCAGCGCCTGAAAGGCTAAGGAGAGGTCTTGGGTTTACTCTCTACCAATAGTTGCTAATCCTGCTACTGGCAGAGGTTTGGGTTCAAATTTGTGTGGTGATTTGAGTCTGGTAAACGAGTAACTAGAATTTCCCTCCCTACTCCCACCAGAAGTGATGCGGTACGAACAGCCTTGATTCAGTTAATACTGCTTGTCTAAGCAAACTGGGCCCTTCCGAGGAAGCCTAGCCAGCAAAGCCTGCCAGTTAGGTGGGCCCTATGCCTTGAGACTGTGTGACCCTGGACATCTAACCATGGGACAACACTTGCACTGCTTGTTATTACCAAGTAGCCAGCGAAATAGAGTTAGGGCAGATTTTTCCTATTAATTTTTTTTTATTCTTCAGTGTTCAAAACTTTGATGCTTTTTTTGATCTAGTGAAAAAAATGCTATTCTTCTAAATCTTGCCAAAATGCATTCAGCAATTGCAAGTCTTTATATCAGATCAGGTGTATTTTGGTCTGGCTGTTTTTAAAGATGTTTAACAGAACTGATTTTCATGTTTTCATGAGTGAAAACATTACATTTGCTATGATTTTCATGTAGCTTCATCTGCACTTGAGATGCTACAGTGCGTTAATTTCTGTCTCTCTTTTTTCAAAAAGCACACAGACACAGAAGGTAGGTACACACAGTAGTAGAGCTAGTTAGCACATAAAGTTAAACCTCTGAAAGTTGAATCCACATGCCTAAGGGTTGGCCGCCTCTTCCCTAAGCTCCTCAAGCTTCCTCCTTCCGAAGTCCACCATAACGTAAGCCAGCCTCTTATTTTTTGGGGCTGGAGCAAGGAGGGAGTCACTGTACCTCCATATGAACTGCTATAACTCAAATGATCCATTAGGCACTCTCCCTGGCACATACATTAGTTCAGATGCTTTCTCGCTTGTAATTATACCCAACAGAGAGGTTAAGTCCGATTGTAAGCTTCTAAATGGCTCAGCCCAGACTCAGGGCGTTATTAATGCGGGATAACGGGAGGAACAAGGCTCCCCAGCCAGCCCAGCCTTTGTTCTAGCCTGCTTTGTGACCTTAGGCACATTGTTTTACCTTCCTAGGCCTCAATTTGCTCATCTGTAAAACTGAAGATTACACTCAACTCCCAAGAGTAAGAGAGAAAACAGGGTCCCTCAGATACAGGAAGAACCAAGATGGTGGTTGCCCCGTTTTCCTCCTGAACATTAAACATATTTAATGAGGCACAGGGTGACACATGCGTCACCCTGGCCACAGTTGTCCATTGTTCCCGTGAGAGTGTACCAAGATCCCAGTGCACTTAGGCGCACACACCTCTCTTGTGCTGCTTGTCCTCCTGGGCATGGACTTAGATTACTTCCTTTTCTCACTGCTGTGGCCACAGGCCTGACATGAAGTTACCAAGGAAGGAAAGATTTATGTTGTCGCATGATTTGAGGTCTCAGCCCATTATGGTAGTAGGATCAGGAGCCAGCTCATATCTAGGGGATCAGAATGCAGAGAGGGGACAGGAAACACAGCCAGAAACCACAAGGACCCTCCCTCAGAACCTACTTCCTCCAGCCACGCCTTAATCTCCACGGCCCCCAAAGCAGTGCCTGTCGGGGACATTTTACCTCTCACCCACAGCAAGCCTTTCCCTGTCTGTCTACACTCTCCATAGGCCCCGAGCCTTCCTCTCTCTGGCCTTGAGGATGCAGCCTTCTTGTCCTAGATTTTGTGCGTAGCTGGAAGCATTCCGTCCTGCCATGGATATGAAAGTGGTGAAGATGGGGAATTGTTCCATAACTGTCTAGAGAGGAGCTTCTCGACCCCATTGGGGGGCAGAAAGAGCCTTTCACAGGGTCACCTCAGGCCATCTGCATGTCAGATATTTACATCGCAGTTCATAACAGCAGCAGGATTACAGTTATGAAGCAGTAACAAAAATAACTTTCTGGTTGAGGGTCACCACAGCATGAGGAACTGTATCAAAGGGCCGTAGCGTTAGGAAGGTTGAGAATCGTTAGCCTAGGTCTTGTGCTTTGTAAGTGGCAGGCTAGAGGCATTTGGAATATGAGAGTCTAGGTTCTTATGGCAGCTTCATTATCTCCGTGGGATATGTGAGCTTAAAGATACTACTTGTCATTTTTTAGTTGATTTCATAATTTATATGATGGCATTATAATTCCTTTTCCAGTTGCCTGTATGGGTTAGTGATAGGTTCTGTTCAGTCTTACATATGAGCATTGCACTGGGGGGGGGGCTTATACTGGTAGGAATTAAAGAGTCAGGGTACCCACATGTGGACCATCGCGGGCAGATACAGTCAGCCCTGGTTACATGAGCAACCAGTATGTAGGTGTCTTGAGGACCAAGTAGACATCATTGCCTTCTCTCTTCAGGCCTCTCTCCTGTTCTCTGAGATCATATTAAGACTTCAGGGTGGAAATTATAAGCAGAGTGTAAGAAACCGCTCTGAGGTCCTCCCCCATCAGTGGACTAGGGGAGGGGCATAAGAGGAGAAGAGGGAGGAAGGGTGGGATTGGGAGGAGATGAGGGAGGGGGCCACAGCTGGGATACAAAGTGAATAAATTGTAATAAATAATAATCAAAATAATAATAAAAAAGAAACCGCTCTGAGTAGGAAGTTAATGGCTGAACTATGATTACCTAACAGCATGCAAGGGAAGGAGCAGAGCAAAGTTCCAAGATGCTTTAAAGGGAAAGACCTGACGTCAGGTCTTTGTGGATAAACCCCAAGAGCTAGCTGCCCTCTAAAGGCTAGGAAGAGAGGGAACAGCAGTTTTTACACAGGTTATACATGCCACTGGGCCCTCCACACCATCCTCTCTGCCCTGTGACTTTCTGAAACTTGCTCTGCGAAGAGATAGCCTGGCTCAAGGCCAAACTCTTGGCAGTTTATTTCTTTCAGTCGGAAGGATGTATGTTGCTTTCTGCTGGACCATGACCAGGAGCAAAGTTTCACCTGAGGGAAAGATTCATTCATCCTGGGTTATAACCACCTCCTCCGGTCCTCCAGCCTAGATGCTCTCCTTTATTCCTCTTTCTGATTTGGCTGTGTAACTCCTACCCCTAATGTATCCTGATTGCCTATAGCTTTTAGCTCCACTTTGGCCCGTGACTCCTGATATCACTCCATTTCATAAGCCTTGTCTGCCCTCATCACACATGACCTGCTCTATGTTACCACAACAGCTAGTTTTATCCCTTCCTAAGATTGTTAGTCAGACCTTCTAATTGCTCATCTGACAGTCCTGTGTCTTTATTGCTCCTGAGACACTAGGCTGGGTTCTTCTAGTTTGGGCTTTGACTCAGTCATGTGCTGACTTGTGGAGTTATAGAGGGGTGGCGTGGCCAGTGGCAGGGCTGGGTTGGAGGTCATGTCACCTTGAATAAGCATGCAGCTTTGCCCAAAGGCCTTCTAGGCAAACATGCAGTCTTAGTAAAAGCAGTGAACTTGTTTTTTTTTTAAATTTTTTTCATAATTTATTTATTATATATCCTGATTGAAGCCCCCTCCCTCAACTCCTCCCAGTCCCACACCCCCTCCATCTTTCCCCCATCCCCTTCCCCTAGTCCACTGAAAGGGGGAGTTCTCCTTTGCCATCTGTCCATAGATTATCAAGTCTCATCAGGACTGCCTGGGTCCTCTTCCTCTGTGGCCTGGCAAGACCACATCATCAGGGGCAAGAGCACTGAGTTCATGACAGAGGCAGCCCCTGCTCCCCTTACTCAGGAACGCACATGGAGACTGAGTTGCCAATTGCCTACATCTGAGCAGAGGGTCTAGGTCTTCTCTGCGAATGGCCCTTAGTTGGATCATCAGTCTCTGCAGGATCCCCTGGGCTCAGATTTTTTAGCTTTGTTGGTCACCTTGTGGAGCTCCTGTCCCCTCCATGTTCTTCTGTCCTCCCCCACTTCTTCCATAAGACTCTCTGCACTCTGCCCAAAGTTTGGCTGTGAGGCTCAGCGTCTTCTGAAAGGCTCCACCCAACAGGGGATGAAGCAGGGAACTTGTTTTATGAATGAAACTTTACAACAATCCCTTGACCTCTCTTCAAGAGTCAAGTCTTGACTGCTGGTGGAAACAGCAGAATAGAACTCCATTCTCACTCTCTCACAACAGTGTACATGAGGACATCCCATCTCATTTCTGGCATGTTCCAGGTTGGCCCACCTTAAATCAACATGGCTTCACTTTTGAGTTTACTGTTGTTTGTTGGGAAGGATTACAGGCTATGGTAATGGGCCATTCCTCGATGAACTCCACATCAAGTTGACCTAGTATTTCTGCGAGAGTGAGCCATGTCCTTGAAGGTTGCCAAGGACTTTGGTGAGAGTCAGCCATGTCTATGAAGATTACCAAGGGTGATGTGTTATTTCCACCACTCCTCCATGTATAAGTTGGCACTCTCCTGTAAGGAATCAAACACCATCTCTTGCTTGTGCTAACTCATGGTAGGAAACACTCATGAGACTACTTTGTATTTAATATGTTGAATTCTTGCATTTGTGTTTATCTTGATGTTCGTGGAGTGCTCACTGGAAATTCTGTGGTGCTTGCTCCTGTGTGTTGTCATTTATTGAACCTTATTTCCTTCCTTTCCTCCTTTTCTCCTTCATTCCTTTCTCTTTTTTCCCACAATTTGTAACAGGCTCATCTTGCACTTTCTGTAAACTAGGCCATCATTTCTTTTAGGAGATAATGTTATTTTCTCATTTTAAAACTGTGAATATTTAAGGTTTTGATGTAATGTTTTAGTATATTTGTCTCAATACACATATACATTATAAAATGATTTATGAAGTTAAGCAAACATACTTTCATTTCATATAGTGTGTGTGTGTGTGTGTGTGTGTGTGTGTGTGTGTGTGTGTGTGTG